GGGGGGCTGCTCAGCCACCAAGAAGACCAAAGTGCATGTGGCTCCCTGCCACACGGCAGGTGACGGTCTCAGACATGGCACTGAGGGAGAGCCGCCGACAGAAAGGCCACACATGTGGCACCCAGCTCCACACAAGCAAGACACAGGTTCCTGGTGGCCAAGATTTCCAGGGGTGGGGGTGGGGGTGGGGAGGGAGGGAGCACCGGAGATGCAGTGTCTCTCTGCAGCGGCAGGAGGGGTCTGACAGTTGGTGTGCTGACTGGAGGCACACCGTGAGGACAAGACTGAAAAATAACCCTCAGACTCACGGAGGTGGAGCTGCTTGACTTGGAAGGCAGAACTGCCCCTGTGGGTGCGAGGCTGTAACGTTTTAGGGGAGCAGAAAGTGTCAACTTTCTCCCTTGCAGCAGCTGGTGGTTTCGAACTGCCAACCTTGCAATTCGCAGGCCCTGGCATAACCCACTATGCCACGGGGCTCCTTACAGAGCAAACAGCATCTTAATAAAACTGTGGGGAAAACACCCAGGGAACAAGTCTTTTTGTGCCCCCAGGTGGGAGCTGGGCACTTACAGCGGGGCCTGCCTTCACACATCCCCACCCCCAACCCATCAGTCTGTCCCACTGTGAGGCTGCAGCTGTGCCACTGGGATTTCACATTTCAGCAGAGCTTCCAGACTAAGACTAGGAAGAAAGGCCTGGTGAATTCACACAAGAATCCATGGACCCACAACAGAACACTGTGCCGGGAGATGAGGCCCCTTGGGTGACAGCCTTGGAAACCACACACAGCCATGCTACTCCCTCACCCTGGACACCGTGTGGCAGACACAACTCGAGGGCCACACTCACCCCCACCCCCGGGCTGGGTTCTCCCTGTCAGTCTGTGACGAGGGTGCATGGCTGTGATGCAGGATTTCAATCACCAACAGAGTGGGCTCTGGTGGGCAGGTTTCAGCGGAGCTCCCACACTCAGAGCAGGAAGAAAGGCCTGGTGTTCCACCTCTGACCACCGGCTTGCTCAGTAGCCCTGATACAGGCTGAGAGGCCAGTGCCCTGGTTGAAGGGACTGGAGACATAATGAGGCGAGCAGGCCAATGACCGTGACACTGGCACAGGCTGGACAGCAGCTCGCTCGCTGCCGAGTCAGAGTGGCTTCCCCCCTAAGCCCCCATACACAACGTGCCTCTCTACAGGCTGTCACCCTGGGATCCTAGCCCTCCCTCCAGGTCAGCAGCACTTGGCGGAAGGAGCTGTTACTGAATTGATCACAAAGGCTCAGGGGGCGAGAAAAGATGTCTGGTGAAGCACCACAGGCAACTCTAATTCTTAACAAGACCCCAGAGGTCCACACTCCAGACAACGGGGGCCAGGGTTCCTTCTGCCACCACAGCAGCTGTAGCAATTCATGGGTGTCCAGTTGGCAGGACAACAGAGGGAGAGGCTGCCCAACTCAGCGCCATCTTTTTCATCCCTGGTTTGCTCCATGGTGGCAGCCAGTGTGTTCAGAGGGACCGCCCGCCGGGGCTCCGCCTCCATTGAGTGCTTACCCGCCAGCTCATTATTGGAGTGTTCTGCTGGGTCCACTGGTTTGCACTGGCTGAGTTTTGGAAGTGGTCGCCAGGTCTTTCTTCCTAGTCTATCTTAGTCTGGCAGCTCAGCTGAAGCGTGATCGCCAGGGGCCACCCTGCAGGCACTTGAAATCCAGTGGTATGGGTTCCAGCATCCTGGCCAGGCTGATGGATGAGAGGTGGGGGCAGAGCCATTTCCAGGCCTCAGAGAGGAGGCTTGGGTCCCCTAGAGTGGAACTTGGTGGTCACTGGGTCCTTGGCATGGACGATGCTGCCAGGGGGGAAGGTGTGGGGAGCCATCACGGAGAGGGAATGCTGCCGGCAAGCACGGCACCTAGTGGTTCAGGGTGCCAGAAAGGTGACACTCGGGCAGGTCCCTGAGGAAGGGCAGGAGCCTGCCAGACGGCAGAGGGGTGAGAGGAAGGGCATTCTTGGCTGGAGAGACAAAGCCTTGCCTGTCCCAGAGCACCAGGCATGGAAAGGTATGTGTGGGTGCTGGGCTGGGTGGCACAAGGCTGACTGCACCCCAAGTATGGGGGCGGGGCGCCACCTGTGCAGGTTCTGGTGACCTTGAGGACTGGTGACAGCCGGTCAGCCTGGAGCACAGCCTGGTGCCCACCTGACCTGAGCCTAGTGCAGCCACACCTGCTCGGCAGAGCAGCAGAACGTGCTGGAACTCTGGATGCTTCTCTCTGGCAGGTATGACACGGCGGGAGGTAGCAATACAGGCACTGCCACTGCCCTGGACAGGGGGGACGCCTGGGCTGAGTTTGCTTCTCGCCTGGGCGAGTGAGCAGTGTGCTCATAGGGAAAGGAGGGAGAGGCACAGGCGGAGACCACCATGGGCTGGGAGGGGAGTCGTCAGCTGGATGCTCCCTCCCCCCAAGTTGTCTAACTCCGCACACCACAGATGCCACCTCAGTGTGGGGTTAACACCAAGTTCCTGAGGGGACCACCTCTCACACCACCCCTTCACGCTCAGTCAGACACGCGTGTCATGCACGCTCACTCGGTGAGGACCTGCTTCACAGCCGCTGGTCGGAGCCAGTCCCTGGGCACAGGCCTTGCTCTCTTCCAGCCCCCACGCCACGGAATTCTGCTCTCGTCTGAGGTGCCTTCATACGTGGTTTCTCAGAAGCCAACAACCAGGACTTTCTTCCTAGGCTTACTCTGGAAGCTCTGTTGCACCTATCTGCCCAAGGCAACGCTGCTGGTGCTTGGATAGTGGGGCAAAGACCCCAGCATCACTGCAAGACGCCGGTCACCCCAAGGTGATAGGCTGACAGCTGGCGGAGGCTTTTGCACACACACCCTTAATTCAGACTGTGCACGTTACAAAAGCTCAGAACCGCTGGGGTCGGGTGGGGGGAAGTGGCAGATGTAGACCTCAAATTGGAAGGAACTCTCCCAGTTGGATGCCCTGCTACACTCACAGAGGCCCTGCTGATGCCAAGAGTCAGCCCGCTTGGCTACAGGCAGGTCGGAGCTTGCCCAGAGGGCTGTGGAAGGAAGGCCTGGCCACCTCCTGTGTAAACTACCTGCCTCTCTCCTTCCACCGAGAACTCCATGGGGCCTAACTCTTTTGTGAGACACAAGTCACCTGTGGCAGGTGAACCCCCTCTTCCAGCCTGGAGGGGATGAGGGTGCAGGGCAGAAGAGGAGTGCCCAGCACCTGTGAGCCTTGGACAGCCTGCAGGGCAGGTGGAACTGGCCTGCCTCGCTGAGGAGCAGGCCCGCCTTCGGGAAGTTAAAGGAATGCTCCCAGGTGCTCCGGGAAGAGCGCGGATGGCATGTATCTAAGGAGATCAGTGTGGGCACTCCACTGAACGCCGGGCCCCTGGGCAGTGGTGGGTGGGTCTTGGAGCTCAGGATGGGGCAGGAGGTGGGGGTGCAAACCAGACTAGGCGCAGAGAAAAAGGCAGCTCTGGTGTTGCCAAGACCCAGAAAGGGATGAGCTCTCCGGTGAACCGGATTGAGGGCTGGGTCTAGAATGATCTCAGCAACACTGGGAAGTGGGCCAGCACCTGTTGAGTGGGGCACGAACAGTAGAAGTGAGTGTGTGGACCAGGCAGGGAGAGGTGGCTGCCTGAAGCCTGCCCCCGCTACACCTTGTGGTGAGAACTGCCTATCCTACCACATGCCGCCAAACAGACCCTGCATCAGGCTTTGCGATAGTGGGCGGTGTGGAAGTAGATTGCCATGCTTTTTTCCCCAAGATACCCATTGGACCTGAAACACCAGTCTGCTGGTCAGTTGCTGCTACAGACTGAACAGTGCTCCAGAGTAGGTGTCACCATCATTATACAGTGAGGCTCCATTCTGCGAGCAGATGTGAACCCCGACCTCTGATGTGAGACCCCACCCCTGTGACATGACTGAGGCAGGAGTAGAGGCAGTGAAGTTGCTGAGCAGAATAACATCTGCAGGATTTGTCTGTCTCTGGAGACAATCTCTTCTGAGAGATAAGACAGATTACACAAGGCAACAGAGACAGAGGGGCCTCAGAAAGAAGAGTTTGCCCTTTGGACTCAGGGTTCCTGTGCTTAGAACCTTCCAGACCCAGGGCTGATGGATGCTAAGACACATGGAGACCACCCAGGAATGCTGGACCCACAGACACAGAAAGGAGGAGACAATGACCTTCCACCAGAGCCAATCCTGAATGGGGACTTGTGGCCTCCCCCGGTGGGAGCCAACAGATGTCTGTCTGCGTGAGTCACCCCTTGTGGTATTTGTTACAGTGACAGAGGGAATTAAGACAGCAGTCCCGCTCCTCCGTGAGCACTGCTGGGGCTAGAGGACTCCTGCACAGACACTGAAGGCAGGCCCAGGAGAGGAAGTGGAGGTCGAATTTGCCACGTGGCCCTGCTCAGAGCCCAGCTCAGCCAGAGCCCCTGCATTACGGCGCCGTTCATGGACAGTTCCCAGAAGAGGAGTCCTAGCCCTGCAACATTTAGGCTTAGCCAAAAGTCGGTCGTTCAACCCACCCTGGAGCTTCGTGAGAACAAGACACGGGGTCCTGCCCCACTGAGGTGACAGCCGAGGAGACCTCCCACAGTTCTGCTCTGTCCTACAGGGTTGGAAGACGTTGACTTCAACTTGTCAGCACATAGACTATCCGCGCCCCCCCCCCTCCCCTGCTCCCCATGGTCCTGCTAATTTCCTACCAGACACACTGCGGCTGGATGCATTCTCATGACCTCCCAGAAGCTTCCTCCCCACTACTGGCCCCCTCAGCACTGGGGAGACTACTGTCTGTCCTTGGGGCGGGTTCCCCTTAGCATCCCTGAACTGTATGTTTCCTGCTCCCCCAGGGAAAGGGAGAATTCCACCCCACAGAGGGGAGGGGCGAACTGAGACCGCTGCTTTTAAAAACCAATTAACTGCCCCACCCACCCACCCCCGACACACACACAACTTCAAATCCATCTGCAGAGCTGAGCTGGCCAGGGTGGGTGACCTATATCTCCTCAGCTCTGTCATGGGGGAACAGGTCTTCCTGGTGAACTGGCATTCCAGAGGGACCAGAACCCTTGGTGGGGAGGCGGTGGGGGAGGGTGTTAGCTGGTGGTGATGGCGGAGCTCAAGTGCAAAGGCACTCAGAAGATGACCTCTGCTTCCCCTGGGCTGGCCGCTCCCAGCAAGACATGGGGCTTTCTGTAAGGTGTGTGTATGAGAGTGGTGGGGTGAGGGGAGGGGAGCGCCATCTGTAATAGTGTTTGGAGGAGCCAAGATCATCCACATTTGGTGGTTCTGTGGGAGAAGTCTCAATTTCTGAGTTGGGGACAAGGGTTCGGGTCCCAGCCGAGGAAGCTCAGGGTTGAAGAACACCACACCAGAGGGGCCCCAGAACCCCAAACTGCAAGAAACCTGCTGCTGCTGAGCCATAAGGCTTAGGGGCTCTGAGCCTCACAGAGACTGAGCAGAACTGTGGTCTTGTCAATGGTTGAGAGCTCAGAAAGAGGTTCATCAGGCCTTTCTTCCAAGGCACCTGAGTGAATGCAAACCTCCTACTTTGCAGTCAGCAGCCAAGTGCATCACCTGGGGGTCCCACCCCATAGCCCCACGTTCCAGGCTCCACAAAGCAGCAGAGATGCCTCCTGGGGATCAAGGGCCCATGTCACCTGTGTCCTGTACTACATGCTGGATGGGCCTGGCCTTGCTTGATATATGATGGTGACCAGGACCGGCCAGATCCCTGACCTCCTGATCAGCATCCTGCTCTCTGTGCCCTGGGCTCCAGGCAGCAGTGGCCCCGAGCCTCCCTGTACTGTTCCAGTTTTTAAGGCACCTGCTTTCAGGGGACAGAAATAGAACATGCGCTGCTACAGATGTGTGTGTGTGTGTTGGGGGCAGGGGAGGGAGGGAGGCGGCTGCTGAGAACCATATGCAGGGCTAAGTTCCCCGGAAATTGAGCAGCCTGTCCCTGGAAAAGACCCACTGGGTGGCTGCTGGGACTCCCTGAGGGTCACTCAGTCAGGCGCAGTGGGCTTTCATAGCAGACTACAGATGGTGGGCTGCCGAGAAGGGGTGGCTTCCCTCATCTGAAAGGATGCAGTCACAGGAGGTGAACAACCGTCATGAGAACACGGCGGATCAGCCCTTCTCATCCTACGCGGAGCAGCCGGGCTCAGTGGGAGACCCACATTTGAATCCTGGCCAATGTGGCCAGGCAGGCACCGTGGAAGCTGGCGTGTCACTAGGATGCCAAACGGGTTTCAGGGGAGCTTCTCGAATCACAGGACTTGGAAGAAAGGCCTGGCAACTGGCTACTGACAACGAGCCCATGAGGGTCACAACGGTGTGACCCGTACCGCCGCTGGAGGGGATGCAGGGCAGGGCGGGGTCCCTGCACTCTTGGACTCGATGGCAGCAAAAGCAGCACCCTGTCGTGTCCCCAGTGCCCCTTCAACTCCCTGCAGCTCTAGGGACGTCCTCTCACAGAGGGAGGCTGAGTGTCCCCACCTCAGCACAGGTGCAGGCCAGTGTACAGAGCCCCTCCCCATCTGCCGGCCAGCCGCACAGCCACATCTGCGGTCAGCGAAGCACCCAGGCTTACTGTCTCCGCCTTGCTCCCAGCCTGCCCTGCAGAGATTCTAGGGGTCAGCCCCAATTTCAAAGGGCCTCGAAGCAGAAGTCAGAGATCAGAAGGGTGGGCTAGAACTTTCCGCACAGATAAGCCAGGGCTGTGAGAAAAGTCTCCGGGAACGGAGCCCGTTGGCACAAACTGCTGGGAGCCCCTCACCTTGCGGGCCATGATGAGGCCTGAGGGCCTGTGCTGCACTTTGGTGACCACCCCGCCATTGCCAGCTCCCAGCTCTGAGAGCCTTTCGAAGTCATCGTCTTTAAGCTCGCCGACCTTGGCCTTTTGGGTGAGGAAGGCTTCTAGACGCTTCTTCTGCTGTTCGTCCAGCTCCAGCTCCTCAAGCTTCTTCTGCAGGTCCGCCACATTCGCTCTGTGGACACCAGGGCCAGGGTCAGAGGGACACACTTCGCAGAAGGAAGAGATGCAGATGCGTGTGTTCCCTTGCTCGCCCACCCGCAGCCCCCACTCAGGGGTCCTGTTCCCTTGCTCCTAACGATACCCAGAAGGGTGGCAGGGGTGTGTGGGGTGTGTGTCTGAGAGAGAGAGACGTTCACTGGTTTCTTGTGAGGACAGAAAGGTAACTAGTCCTGAGTGGCCTCAAAGTCAAGGCCCAGAACCCAAGGTCAAAGAGCAAGCGCATGCTCCTCCTGCACACACTCCCCCCGCACCCACCCCCACCCCCGGGGAGCAGGGAAGAGGAGGTGTTATTTAAGTCCTGTAACAATTCTGGAACATTCCACTCCCCGCATGCTCTTACTACACCCCACGTAGGCTTACCCCACGTAGGCTTACACCACAGAGGCAGTTCCCACTTATCCCGACCCGACCCAGGGTTCCTGAGCCTCATGGGAACAGGCCGCCTCGTCCTTCTCCTGCATTTGCCACTCGGGAAAGGCCCTCATGCACGCCATGCTGTGTGTGCTCACACACAATGATCCTGAGCTAGGTTATCAAAACAAACAGCATGGCGATCGTTCTGAGGGTGATTCTAAGGAGTTTTCTATGGCCATTTTGAGTACCGCTGTTCCCCCTAAAGCCTCTGAGCCCAGTCTCTGGGCGGCACGATGTACGCGCTCAGCTGCCAACTGAATGGCTGGCAGTTTGAGTCTACCTGTGGGTGCCTCAGAGGAAAGCCTGGTGACCGACCTCGGGGGTAGAGGGACAGACACTCTTCCCTGGGCCATGCCTGGGGGCGCCAGGGGCTGGCGTCTACTCGGCGGGAGCTGGCTGGCAGTCACAGGCACAGAGATCTTTCTGATCCGGAGAACAACTGCTCTCCCCAGGGCGCCATGCTCTGGCTGTCCTTTCAAAGTCAAACAGGCGGGGCTCAAGTCCACGGTCAGGCCTGTGCCCCTCAGAGCCTAGAGGTGGATTCCAACTTCTCTGTCAGCAGCCCTGCCTGACCAGTGCACCCCAGGGGGCCTTTCTCGACACCGCCCCCTCCACACCAACACACACTGCCACTCCACCCAGCTCCACTCAAAGAGATCCTAGCTGGGACCCTTACAGGAGAAAGGAGCCTCATTTTTCTCCCGAGGAGAGGCTGGTGGGTTTGAACTGCAGACCTTGCAGGCATGCGGCCTAATGCCTGACCCACAACACCACAAAGACTTTCATAGCGCACACGTAGGCACTCCCAAAGGTTGACTGAACATTTACTTTACTTATTGGCTTTCTGTACTAAGTCTTTATAATTTTCACGCAGTTCAGACCCCAGGCCACGTGGACTTGGAAAAACCCCATTTCAAAGGTGTGGCTGGCGAACTGCCAGTCAGACTGGCAGAAACTCGACCCAGGAGAAGAGGCTGTCTCCAGGGATCTTGGTCAATCCCTGAAGGTGCTGAAGCCCACAGGGGCAGGGGACACACATCATACAAGGGGTGCCAAGAAGGGTGGGGGTAGACTGGATGCTGCTTCTGGAACCTTTCAATCCCAAAATTCTACCATCACTCCCTACAATTGACTTCAAGAGACAAGAAGCAAAGCCTAAGGAGGAGTGGGGAGTGAGGGTGTCTGAGGTCCGAGATGGCGCTGTCACCTGGAAGGTAGCCTGGTGCTAAAAGAACTTGCTGGACGTCACGGAGCTAAAGGCAGGGCCCAAGCATGGCCCCGGCAAGTACCAGCAAGCACCCTTCTGCAGAACCCGGGGAGGAAGGCACCCTCCACCCGGCAGCAAAAACATGACCCCTAGAAGCCAGGGAACTTGCCAGGGTCTCAGCAGGAGGACATGGACTGTCCTCCTGAAGGCCTCGCTCAGCACTGAGAGGGGCACGCGGCAGTGCCTGGAGCCCGAGCTGAACGGAGGTGGGCTAAAGATGTGGGAGGGCCTCTGAAGCAGGGCCTACTCCGAGCTGCCCCAGGGTTGGACATGCAGCCCTGGACCAGAGTCCTGAAGGCCTGGGCCTGCCCTATGACCGAGAAGCGCTTCCTGGAGCCAGTTGCTTACTCCAGTTGAGACACAAAGGCAACCTCAACTATGGCTATTTAACAAACAAACAAACAAACAAACAAACAAACAAACACTCTTAAACTTCTCCAACTGGAAACCAGACTCACTGGACACACAATCAGGAAACAGTTTTGAAACCTTGAGCTAGCATGCTCCCCGCAAAGGCATCTTTAAGCCAAACAATGGCGTAGCTCACCAAAGAGGGCTCCCAAGAGGAGATCCAAACGACCACCGCACTCACCCACCGACCACCCCACTCACCCACCGTCAGAGTCCAGAGTGGCCTCGGACTCACAGTGACCCTACAGGACAGGGTAGAACTGCCCTGTGGGTTTCCAAGGCTGTCTGTCTTTACGGAAGTACAAATCCTCATTGTCTGGTGGAGCGGCTGGTGGATTCGAACTTTTCAATTAACAGCCCAATGCTTAATCCCCCGTGCCATCAGGGTTCCAGTCACCTACAGGTGAGAACACACAGTAGCAGAGTCCCTACATGAACAGGGGGGAGGGGACAGGGGCTGAGACAGGGAGGATGTTGGGGAATGCACCTGGTGGTGTCAATAAGCCAGACGTGCGAGAAAGGGTCGAAAGGGTTTATTTTGTTATGCATATTTCCACCGAAAGTTTAAAAAGCACCGCTACCCAGCATATCCAATGCAAGGGGGAGGGGGCCCTTCAGGAAGAGACTCTAAAGAAGGAAACTGATGATGGTGAGGGGAGAAGTTGCTTGCAAGAATGAGGGAGTTTAAAAATAAGAGCACATCCCAAGTTCAAGGAGCCCTGGTGGCAGAGTTGGGCTATAAGCCTAAAGTCAGCAGTTCAAAACTACCATCTGCTCCAAGGGAGAAAGATGGGGTTTTCTACTCCCCTAAAGACTCACAGCCTCAGAAACCCACTGGGGCAGTTCTAGCCTGTCCTACAGGGTTGCTACGAGTTGGAATGGATTCGATGCCAGTGAGTGTTGAATGCGGTGTTGGGCCGCTAGCAGAAAGGTCAGTGGTTGGAACCCACCAGCGGCTCCCTGGAATTAAGAGGAGGCTGTCTGCTCCCATGGAGATCTGCAGCGTCGGAAACGCACAAGGGCAGCTCTACTCTGTCCCACAGGGTCACTGAGTCAGCATCCACTTAATGGCAGTGAGTTTGGTTTTATTTTGGATCCCAAGTTCAGCTCGGTGTCAATGAAAGATTTTTTTTCTCTCACGTACTCAAGTGCCCACTTGGGACACACATACACACTCTCTCTCTCTCTCCTCCCTGGTCTAGGCTACAGAATGTAAGAGGAGGGCACTCTGCTCAGCCCTCAGAGTCCCTCCCTTGCCCCCACACTGCAGGGCTCAGGCCCGATGCCCCTCTGGGCCCTCTTTTCA